TGCTGACATAAGCTCTTAAAGTTTCTTTTTTATTCTTTATTATGCTGTTTATATATTGTAATCATTTTGTACAACGCTATAATTATCCTAAATATGAATACTGCTAGTTCAATATCCTTATGGCGGAATATGATTATGACTCTGACATAGAGTTGAAATATTGTATCTTCGCATTAAATCTTGTGTGAACTAAAATTTGTTAAAACTTATGAACCTAAAGCTTATTTTCACTATTGCTCAAGTAGTGTTCATCACTGCGAAGATCACTTTCATATTCACTTCTTTATCCGCAGTTCACATATATGATCTTCATATATTCACAATAATTTAAAACTTACAGCTTTGCAATGACGTCCATTTTTACCCTCGCCTTTTACCTTCTTTATTCAAAAATGTGAGATGGTCCTGAATTCTAAAGTCAGTTCTTTTGTAAAGGTACTTTATAACATTTGCATCAAAAGGAAATATAAAAACCTTCTCAATTATTTACAGGTAAAGTTTATTTTAGATACAAATTACGGAATATCATTCATAACTAATGTCTAACCGCTCCATCAATTGTCACAAACAATTTCACTATCCACTTGATAGATGGATAGGTCAAAAAGCGTGAGTCTGACTCGGCTTTTCCCACCTTCCCTCAAACTTCACACGTCAGTTTTTATGGTAGGTCTTAATAGTTTTGTATGCTGACTTTTTCAATCGTTTCCAAAAGCAAGTGAGAAAATAAAGTAGTAGTCAAAGGAAAAAATTATTATCTCTATTACTGAAAACAACGCGCAAGAGGAGGTCCGTAAATACATTGGTGAAACTTCTGTCGGGGTGTTGACGTCTTCATGGCGTAGATCGAGGCTAGGCCGAAAAAAGTATGGATATCGGTTGGGTCTTGTTTAAAAGTGGAGATTAAAGAAAGTCGCAGACGAGGGGAGAGACCATGTCTTCTCTGATGTTAATTTTCATTTCTTGGAAGTCGGGATACACTATGCGACGAGTCGGAGCGACAGGCCTCTGGAACAGGCTGATTCAATTGTTCTACCAAACATTTCCCTGGGATGTATTGCAGGAAAAATTCACTGAGACAATTCGCCTCGTGCAGCATGAAGGATTTTTCGCCAAAACGTCATAACGTGACTCGACGTAAATTGTATTTGCAAATTAGAAAAGTGAGGGCAGTGTTACAGCTGTTTTTTGTTTCGTATGTGTCTACCTTCACGAATGTTGAGGTGAAGCAAAAGCTATGCAATGATATGTATTAATCAAGACCATAAGAACAAGAAATTACATCCCGACAAAATTTAGGGACTTTCGAGCATCAACATTTCGAAATAAAGTAAGCTATAACTTTCAATAGAAGGTTTTCAATATGTCCTTGATTATTTTAATTATTATAAGGACCTTCGGGCACCAAATAATAGAAATAATGAGGAGTAAATTTGAATGGTTGGTTTTTAATGCAAGCTACTAATTTTTACACTTGTTAAGTTCAAAAAAACGGTAAAAAAATCTATTTTTTTCAGGTCCTATTTTCAACTACTCGTTTCAGTGGTGTTCTTAATGGCGAGGATCTCTTAATTTCGTAATTACAAAGTTTCTTCTTTACGCAGACTTTCTTCACAAAGAAGAATATAATATAACATGGGATTACGTCTTCGTCTTTTAAAAGTCCTGATATATCTGGTGAGTATTTTTATTCGCGATATGTTACCACCTACGTGGTAGAATGATCCTAAAAAAATTATCCGTAACACGAAACTACCGGACCATCTTTTATTGACGTTCCAACTTTTTAATTGTCACATTTTCTCGTAGAGTTGTAAATATCCTGACACTTCGGGAGGGTCACCAGGTGAGAAAACGTTTTATAGAACTATATTAAAGATAATAAAGGAAATACATGTACTGTTTAAGGCGCAGTCTCTCTAAAAGCGGTCCGGTGCACTTCGGTTCGAAAAATTTATTTATTTCAAACTTTTCCCATAAATCTGTGATTGAAACCACCTTGGTTTTTCAAAATTTTGCAAAATACACAACTGGTAGCTGTCACACTCACAGCCAACGGCTGTATGAATAACATCAAAGTCAGAGTTACATTCCTAGATGCGAGTTATTTCACAGGGAATCGACCCTTGATGTGCTAACACAGTACAAAGAGACGGAGACCTCTGATACATGAACTTGGGGTAGTCGTGTCATCCACCAGGCGCAAATATAGGATTCGTCAAAGGTGAAGCGCTATGCCTCATAAGAACTAATTCTTCACTCTCCACGTTTATTCAAATAATAAACTCAAAAAGCGCAGCAGATCAATGACTACTAAGGCAATGATATACAGACTATATATACAGCTATTAGCCTGAGCTCCTTCGAGTGCCACATCGAAGATAGCATTACTTACACATTGCGGTCCAAAAAATCGAACGGGTAATTGTGCCGAAATGATTGATTGCCTCAAGGAAAGACAGCGTTGTAGCAGTGGACGATCAATGCTTCGAGTGAACCAGGCACAAATCCTTTTGAATGTACCAGTTCTGATGTCGAGGAAACATTCGACATTACATCTTTTGGACTCGGATCATGAAGAAGACAGTAAAATAAAAATTGAGTGACCTTTATTCACTTTATTTATTTCGTGTATTGCTGTAGTATTTATACATGAATATTGTGAAATTGAACGCGATGCAAAAAATGACTTTCAGACAAGCACTATAACGTTTCTATTTTTTAAAAATATAATGGTCAACTAAAAAGACTTAAATTTGTTATTTCGTAATATGTCGAGACCATTACGCAATGACGATTTTACAATAGACCTTATACAGATAAACTCAGAGACCGACCAGGCTGAGAAGAAGGTATGGGAATCTTGCTTTCCTATAATGCGGAAAATCGCACTTACTAGAACCACTCTTATCCTGTGAAAAACTTTAGACGGCGATCTTCGAGCCAAAAAGGAAATAACATCATTATCCAGCAGAGCTTCATTTGCATCGGATTCTTTCAAGCTGTCCACGCCGGCACTTTCTCTGGATTCGCTCATCTCCATGGTTTCGGCATTCAAACAAGAACCTCGCTCTGATACCAAGTTTGGTCGGACGGAACACCAAAAATAAACTAATATGGAATTCCTTCGGAAGGCACTCTAACACTCTGCTACCGATAGTTCATCGCATCGAAAAGAAAACTTGGCTCATGCTAAAAGACTAATTAACAAAGGTAACAAAAGCGACGAAGACAAGCAAAAACGAGAGTCACGAACAAAGACAATTACGTATTAACTTGTAATCATGGCGCCTACAGAAGTTATTATTGTTGTTGTCATATGATGTATGCCACCTGATAGCACTCTTTGTGGATAACTGAGGCGCTACACTTAGTCTTTTTAACAGTTACCATCAGTGATGCAAAAAACAGCTGTCACTGCACGTTAACGTCACCTAATGTACTTATTGTAGGTTTTGAAACTCTTTACATGCAATCAATTTGCAGATTGCTTCAGTAATCCTGTCGGTGTTGCTGATCCCAGTGTCATCTCCAATAATCAGATAAAAGCGCGTTCTGAAAGCAATGGTTATAGCCAAGCGTTTTACGGTCGACTAAACGCTAAGTACGGTAATGGTTGGTGTTCTAGTCTGCCTAACAGTAACAACGAATGGCTCCAGGTTGACATCGGAATAATAATTCAAGCATGTGGTCTTGCTACCCAAGGGGACAAAGAATGGAATTTGAAAGGCAGATGGGTCACAGCTTTCAAACTATCTTATTCCCTGGATGGAACAAACTGGGAAACTTACCGGAATGAAACTGGTGGGGAAATGGTGAGACTTAAGGAATAGGCTTTTTCATTATTTAACCTAATAGGAGAACGAACAGCGTTGACAAAACTTGTATCGGACCGGTTCGGATCACGAGTCTGATCACAGATCGGATCACGGATCGGATAACAGATCGGATCACGTGTTTATTTTTCATTTCCCTCGCGGCCTCACAACTTCCCGCTCCCCGGGAAACAAAACTGCTATCCACGTACACTAGTAATTACAACTTCGTATGTAAAATTGCCTATTTAATAAACAACAAATCCCAAAGCAAGCTCGAGTTAATGCTTCAATAGCGTCTAGTTTGTTTTGTTTTGCTTTGCTGTTTTGGCTTTCGGAAAAAAGTTAATTTTCAAGGATTTTCATCCCTTTTAAACGAATTAATATTCCATGCTTTACATATTTGTATCAAAGGAATTTCAGAGGAAAGGAAGTAGTTTGATAATCGACCAGCACAAGTTATCTCTGCTAGTGTATGCAAGATACTTCCGATTTCATCCAACCCAGCGTCACAAGCACAACTGCCTCAGAGTTGAGATTTACAAAGAAAAAAGTGAGTGAATAATGTAGAGTTACTCAAAATACCAATACCGTTTTTCCAAAATCATGAATACAAACAGGTAGCTTGGCAAGAAGCGGGAACCTAAATGTTTTAAACTTCAGCATATGCTATTACATCATCACTAAAATTATGGTAACAAAAGACAACGAGAACTGATAACGTCCCATTCAAAATTTGCAGTCAAAAAAAATCATTAAGGAGGCGCGATTGTCATCTGAAAAGGTGTTTTAAAAACAGTTAAACATAGAACAGTTTGTATTTGATGGAATCTAGGGTTTCCAGTAACTGCACCCGTAATATTTACAGGCCTTCAACCCCTGAAAAAGAGGTCAACCGAAAAGAAAACATCGTGGGAAAGATTGCCAAATGGCGAAAGATTCGAAATTCAACGCATGCTCAGACACGATCTTGGCGAAGTTCTGTAACCATTAAGTAAAGTTTTGCAACAAAGAAAATAGAGATCTTTCGAGTAAGATTTATCAGGTTTCATGCGGTGGAATTTCCTAAGATTTACTGTACCGTTAAACATATTTGTGCCCTTCCTCGTGCCTTTTATAAAAAAAAATCATGACTAAATTTGAGATGGAGGAAGAAAACACAAAATTTCAAATAGCGTGGAAACTGCCTTCATAACCCCTATTTTTTTCGGCTTTTAAATGATCGCAAGACAATTTTCACAAATTGTGAAAATTTTGAGAGATTTCACTGGAGCAAATTGAAGAAAATCAGAGGCAAAGCCAAATTATCGCTGACGAGCCTTCGTGAAGCCTTACCTTAATAACGAAAACTATTTGATAATATTCACTACAGCAAACGAGTCCCAAACGTGCCCATTGCCTTTAGTTGGCATTTTAGTTAACTTGAAAAGCGAGAACATAAAAATTTTCCATAAAAACATTACGCTGGCGCGCGCGCCAACATTGAGCAAAAACCCCATGGAGCCCCCTTAAACTCAAAAAACAAAAGCGATGTGAGCAAATTTACAGTCGAACTCCCATAAGACCTCTTAAAAAGAGATAATCATTATGATGGCGAGGAGAGGCCTCTCTAGAAATTATTTTAAAAGAGAATTGGTGGACGCATTACTTCTTTTAAAAGGTCAAAGTCCAAAATGTGAGTCGCATGCAGAATTAAAACCATATTGTCATCATACACTGTTTATTCTTACCGAGTTCTCGATATAAGTAGAATATAAAAACAACTTTCATCGAGTAGCTGAACGACTACGAGAACTTTTAATAGAGGTTTGACTGCATCAGCTTTTCGATAACCGTTGTATAATGCTTCCATAGTCACAGTCCCATTCTGTCA